GGCAGCGAGAAGCTGCGGCCAGCACATTGCTCGCCTGCGCCGCTTCCCGCCGTCCCCATTGGCCCGGGACGGCGAACCACGGCCAGTGGGGGCCGCGATCGGCCGAACCTGCCGCGTCAGCAGGTAAATAAAACTGGCCTGGCCCGTCAGGGTGCTTACCCTGGCGAGCCGCGTGCCAAACGTTGCCAACCCCTGACCTAGAAAGACATAACCTTGGCCATTTGCAGCATACCCAGAAAAGATGTCTTTAGATATAATCCAAACTTCCACACAGATCCGGTTGCTGTATTAATTTTGATTGTTTTATTAGTTAATATGCTGCATCACATATTTCCCATGTGTTCATTTCTGCATCATATAATAGAAAAAGCACTGTACTGATTTCTAATTAACAATTTGTACCATGAGGCTTTAAACTTCTTTTCTTTAGTTTAATTACAGCTGTGAAGGGAATGCAATGAAACTGAAGAGGGCAGCTCTGCATGATAAATACTAGCCCTTGTTTCACTCTGTGATCATTTGAACTATGAGGGCTCATGGTACTTAACAATTATAGTATTAGGTTACAGTGGGACTTAGGTCTTATGCAGAAAACCTCACACCAGAACAAAGACTGGCCACCATGTACCACAAAGATTAAGGCTAGATTTCATGATACATCAAAGAATTAATCCCATGTCCCTTCATAAAAAATTAAGAATGAGCTTGGCAATAAGATTTAGTTACCTGACTAAAATACACAAGACAAGAAATATTCAGCAATCTGCAGCAAAGGAAAGCACTGAAAATTTGCAGGTCAAAACTTACCAGTGTAGCAAAAAGATGATAAAGTATAAAGTAAATAGCAACTACAGGTGCCCACATATGTCCTACAGCATTAAGAGTCTGATCCATGACATCCACCCATCCTTCCTGTGTAAGGATCTGGAACATTGACATGAATGCCTACAGGAAAAAAGAATCACACATATATTATAGCTGCATGCACTGCATTAAAATAACTCTATGGAGAATCATCAAAGTTGTATGGAGTAGATTTGACAAATCAGAAAATCCAGTTATAGTTATCTTGATCAACAAAGGAGTGGATTTCAATTCTGTGAATGAGGATTACGTGCAATTTTCAGTCCAGAGGCAGAAACAAATAGTCCAATATTTGACTGAACCGTAACAGTTTACAACTGTAAACTGTCTCAACTTTCTTAGTCAACATGAAGCTTGATATCCTCCGTGGTTGATGAAATATAAAGACTATGGTGGGTTTGAGGATCAGTCAAGATATTGTTTCCAGGATTTTATTGCCCTGTCAGTTTATGAGTACATCAGTTTACTTTAAGTACTGTTTTCACTCTCTAAATATGAAGCAAAACACTGGATCTTCATGTATGTAATAAAGCTATATGATTAAATGAGTTCATAAAGGGATAAAAGTTCATTCCTGGCTCCTGCCTGGCAAACCACTCCAGGCACTTTGAAAACACAATAAAAACTATGGCCCCTGTCCTTCAAGCTGTTACATGCAAGCTGATCTCCAAAATTATGCAAAGCCCTATTGACTTTTTACTTAGCACTTTTGGCACAGATTTTTCAGTGGCACTTCTAAAGTTCAGAGGCACTCAGCACCAGAGGTCAAACACCTCATTAACTAAGGGTGAAATGGTACATACCACGTAAGCAGTACAGCTGGTCGGAAAATGGAACACATTTTTCATTGAAAATGTTTGAAATGTTTCGGCCAACTGTCGTTAGAAGCTTGGTAGTATATGAAGGACCCAGTTTATTTACAGATTTGTATGTTAAAACTCAAAACTTAAGCTGGATCCACCAAAAGACAACCATTAAATAGAGCAATGCAGCAGGTTAGGCAGATCCCATCTGATGCCATTTTCTTCATAACATGCAGGCCAAGGATCTGTTTAATCGGCACACCAATGTACAGTACAGTTCATTGGATTAGTCTATACTCAGTGCTGGAGAGATGTGTGTTATGATTTTCAGGTCAGAGTCAGGCAATCACCTCAGAAAGATCAAGACAACCTGGGTCCTAAATGTCACTTCACAACCTAAATTCAGTGCTCGATCATGGACCCAGGCCTCCTGCTGTCAGCCCATTTGTTAATATGGAGAGCAGGATAATGGAGGCTTGGATAAACGGGATCCATTCTACTGTATATGCTTTTATTTTCTCATAAAATGTAAAAACTAAAGATTCTCTGTAAAAATGTGAATTCTGTGTTTTTCCATGGCAAATGGGTTTCTAGGATCCCTTCTAATAACCTATATTGGATCTGGGAATCACCAGGAAGGATGAAGACCTTTAGCCATGCCCTCTTTTCCCTGGTCAGCTCTATGACACCAGCAGCTCCCCTCCACTTGGTTAATCTTCCCATGGCTAATTAAGCCAGGTGCAGGACAGCTTTATGCTGGTGGTGCGGCACAAAGAGATCACAGCATAGATCAGAATCTGGCCCAATATGTGAGAAAATTCTTTAGCTGGTAGGTCTTTCTGGTGTCCTACTATTTTGTTCAGCACAGGAAAAGAAGAGTTACCATGGCTACCATTCAAGAGAAAATGTTTTGATTATGATTGCAGCAAGCACTGTATGTTTTTTAATCAATACTATAGGACCACAACAGAGAGAAGCAAAGACTGGTCAAGTACTATGCTCCTGTAAACCAAGTTTAGTTAATGTATCTAAAAAAATCTGCAGATCTTGTGAGTTTGAATCTTTGGCTGTGGACAAACTGTCTATTAAACTGTTTCTTTTCCTTTTTCACTTTTGTTTAATATCAAGACTGAATTTCTTTCCAGATAAGCAACAATGGTTTGAGGTGAGATTTTACTGAAGTATAGAACCCAAAAACAAAGTATGTGAGAAATTGAAGTGAGAAGCTAATGATGTAGCTTGCCGTTACTGTTTCTCGATTCAACAGCTTGTTGTGATGTAGAGATATTTAATCTATGTTCATTTTACCTAGACAGCACAGTAGATAGTACTCACAAGCATTTCTTGTTGCATTCCTTGAGAAAAACCACCAGAAAAGCCCTTCACACTAATGTAATCAACCCATATTCCTGAAGAATGGCGTTTCATAAATGCAAGTTGAAATATTGTGGAATTTTTATGTCCTTGAAGGAGTAGCAAGTTAAAACACAGTGTTATGCTCAAAGCTTGGCAAAAATGCAATTGTGGTGTTGCGGTGTTCCATGTTTGATTCTCAGTGACTTCCATATCAAAATTGCTGAGTTTTTTAAGTAAAATAATTTCTTGAACCAACAGCTCTCCCAACTCAACATGGGTTCGGAGAGTCAGGCTGAGATTTTTCTTCTCTGTACCTCATGATTAGTAGTAAAGGTTTCGCAGCTCAAATGTCTTCAAATTATATCCTCAGACACTTCTACATTCCTACTGCCCTCAGGAAGCTTGTGCAGATTCAGCTGACTGAAATCCAGCTAAATTTCTCATTACTGTTATAGTTCTGCAGTGCTCACTGGAGTAAGAAGTAGTAAACACATATTTGTGTCACTAGAGTGACTCTGAATAAAACTATTAAACCTATCTGTTAAAGTAAGATGGTGCCAGTTTTACACGGTCACTTTTCAGAGCTGAATCACACACCAAGCAAGCAAACTGAAAGTCCCAACTTCCTATGAGAAGCAAAACAGGGGAGCACCCAGCATAGATCAGAGCATTCAGATGAGAAAGACACCCACCAACATTGGATGTGTTTAAGTGGCAATAATATCCCCTGTTCCCTTTCCTTTAGCTGGAGAGAGTTTTTAGAAGGAAAAACCCATTTGTCTGACAGTCTTTTAAGATGGTAATAACTGTCCTTTTTGGGAAAAGAAGAATTTAGTTGAGATGGGCTGCAGCTATCATTGTTGCTGTTGTTAAAGTCCGATTTTATTTCCTAAAAGACAAAACAAGACAAGCATACACCAGAAAGGACAGAAAAGAATAGTAAAGATAGAAAATGCAGCTTCTATCTCCGGCTTTAACTCTCACTCGCAAGCACAGGACATGGTTTTATCAGCCAGTCTGAGACCTGGCAAACTTGTACCAGCACAGGGCTGTTTAGGGCATTGCATTTAGCTGCCTCTCTGGTCACAGGCTTACTGTAGTGATAGGGAGTATGCAGTCTTGGCCAGATAAGCCAGACCTTTATTAGACAGAAGGAAAAAAGAGAGACAGAAAAAAGAGGAAAAAATAAGGTTGGGAAGACAAAAGGACATGTTGGGGCAGGGGGAGGGAGACAAAGTCTCATATCCCAAATAGTGGTTGGGATTTAGCTGGAGCCAGTGGAGGTGGTGATGACATCGGTTCCCTCTCTCTGGTCTGGTCTGGTAGGACATCTCTCAGGATTAGGACGCAGGTCCAGCATCTGAGGAGATGGTGGGGGTGGAAGCCATGCTGGTGGAGTTTGATCTTTCCCTTTCTCTTGTCTTTGTCAGTCAGCGTTGTCGTAGCCTCCATCCATTTGTCTATCTTTCTGGGGGGACCCCAGAAGGGAGTGATGGATGGAACAATCCCCTCCCTCATTATTTTGTCCACCAATTAGGCCTAATTTCCAACATGCTAATTTTGATTTACTGATTTCTGATCCCACACTGTTCTTGTTTATCAGGCATGACCTTAATACAGTTCTTGACTTATATCAGGAGACCTTTTTGTTTGTACTAATTCAGTTTGTCTCTCTTTTGCAACTTTTCCCATCAACATTATAGGTTATTGTGACACTTTATGAGTTTCCACTTACTTTTTACAGCTGAGCTCAGACTTAGGACAAATACATAGGCCCAGTTATCAGCTGCAGTATCAAGCTGGCGACCTCTACCCAAGAGGGGTCTTTTATTGACAGGGAGTGGATGGGTGAACCAGTCAAGCTGTTCAGCCTCCTCTGAGCTAACCAGTGGTATAACAGGGGGAAGGAAGACAATGGCCAAACCTCTGCCCAGTGTCACCTTCCCCCTGCCCACTGCTATCTGGAACTGGGAGGGGCAAGTACCTCTACCACTGCCCCCTGATCTTTTCAGGACCCAGCATGGCTGGACTTACGGGTGGGTAATGTGGGCAATTGTCCAGGGTGCTGCCGTGGTCAGGGGGCACCATGGTTAAAAGGGTGCCAGTGCCTGGGCAGGGTCAGAGGCTTGTGCCCATTGGCCAGGCTCCACTTTCAACTTGTGGGTGGTTTGTTGGCCCGAGCGTGTCCCAGATTGGCAGAGGGGGCAGGTGGATTGGGCTGGCTCCCAGCTGGGGGAGAGGCTGAAGTTATGGGGAGTGTTGTTGCAATTTGCAGGTGAGGAAGGTCTGCTCCAGGGGTGAGCTGCGGGAGCCCCAGTGGGCCCGGGGCAGTGCACTGCAGGACGGGCTGGGGCTAGGGCTGGCCTTGCCCCCAGGGCTGTGCCATGTGCTGGTTCATGCTGGGAAGGGTGCGAGGACAGCACCAGGAGGAGATCTGCTTCTGCCTGGTGTCTCGTGGCCTGCACTCACCCTGGGCTGCCTGGTGCTGCCCACCTGCCAGTGTAGCAGTTCAGCAGCCCCAATGGCCTTGGAGCAGGGGAGGACAGGGTGTGCCCAGGTTAGTGGCGAGTGCTCCAGGGGGTACATAGCGGCATCCGAAATTGGGAGATGTTGAGGATCGGAATCAGTGGGGCTCCCTAGGCAGGTCCCTGGCAGTCAGGAAAACACACACAGTGCCGGGTGTGTGCTGTGCTGTGCTTCAGTTTGTGCCTTGCAGCGCTGCCATCCCCCTCAGCGCTTCGTATGGTTGCCAGCCCAGCATTCTCGCTGCTGGTGCCAGAAACTCGGGGGATACAGTAAGCCAGCGCTGAGCGTACAGGCTGCCTGTGCTGTTTGCAGCAGTCTCTGCTGAGGTGCACACAGTCCTTACTGTAACTTAAAAGCTTCCCCAGTAAACTCAAG